GTAATTAATTGTAACTTGAATAGCAAATTCTAAATATACAAATTCTGTTTTCTTTCTTGGTATCAGAGCTGAAAAATGGCCAATGCCAATACTAGTGATCAGTCCTCTCCAAGCACAGCAACGGCTGTTCAATCTGGTGTCATTCAAGCTTCACCATTTGGGATGAATCTCACCCAAACACCGGCAGTAAAGCTTGACAAGAATAACTTCTTGTTGTGGAAGAATATGATTATGCCAATAATCAGAGGACATAATCTTGAGGGCTATCTGGTTGGAACAAAGGAATGTCGACACGAATTCATAGCTACTCAAACAACCATCAATGGAGGAGAAGCTGTAGAAATGACTCAGAACCCTGAGTACAGCAAGTGGATCTCCACTGATCAGCTACTTATGGGCTGGCTTTACTCATCCATGACGTCGAAGATAGCAATGAAAGTTATGGGATGCACCAACTCAAACACACTGTGGATTGCAGTTGAAGAAAGCTATGGAATACTTAACAAATCAAGAATCGTTTTCCTTACTGGAGAGTTGCAGAAAACTAGAAAAGGACCAATGACTATGCACCAATACCTGTTCACTATCAAGCAGCTGGCAGACAATCTTCAGGTAGCTGGAAAACTAGTGGAGCATGGAGATCTTGTCACTCAGGTACTATCAGGTCTTGATGAAGAATATACTCCCATTGTTGTTCAGATAAACAGTAGGGAGAACATATCTTGGCATGAACTTTCATCCGTTCTAATGACCTTTGAAAGTAGGCTTGAATACCTCAATCAGATCAGGGGTAACTTTGCTTCCCTCAATATTGTACAATCAAGTGTGCAATTGGCTCAAAGAGCAAATCCAGGAAGTGGCAGATTCTCTAGAGGAACCAACAGTGGTAAGTTCATGAACTTCAGAGGAAGGACTAAATGTAGAGGCAGAGCAGGAAGGCCTAGTGAGAGTAAGGGGCCTTGCCAAATCTGTGGGATGACAAATCACACAGCTAACTGGTGTTTTAATAGATACGATGATAGGTTTATGGGAAGCAAACCTACTAACCAAAACCAGCAAAATTTTAGTTCAACTCCTGCAGCTTATATGGCTGCACTAAAGGGCTTTGAAGAGTCATGATGGTTTGCAGACATTGGTGCCAGTAACCATTCACACCAGACAAAGGTAACCTGACCAATGCTCAAAGATTTGAAGGTAAGAAGAAATTATTTGTTGGTAATGGAAAATGTTTACAAATCTCTCACATTGGAAAAGGAGTTATTCCCTATTCGAATGATAGAAACCTTGCATTGAATAAATTACTTTATGTTCCAGAAATCAAAAAGAATCTGATAAGTGTCTCTCAGTTTACAAGTGATAATAACCTATTCATGGAATTTTATTCAAACTATTGCCTTGTAAAGGATCTGGAAACCAAGAAGACGCTGCTGTGGGGAGTGCTTAAAGATGGGCTATATCAACTGATGCTGTCACGTTCTGGTTCAAAGTTTTCAACCAAAGAGTCAGCCAATCAAAATAATTCCAACTGCCTTACTGTGAGTTCAAGTTGTGAAGAGTCAGCAAAATCTGTCAAGCCATTAGAGTCTGAGATTGAAGCTTGGCATAGGAGACTAGGCTATCCTTCAAATTGCATCTTAAGTCAAGTCCTGAAATCGTGTAATAAACATATCAAAGTTAATGAAAATTCAACTTTCTGTGAATCTTGTCAAATGGGAAAATCTCATGCTTTACCATTTAAAATATCTTCATCACATGCTTCAAATCCATTGGAGCTAATCCATACAGATGTCTGGGGACCTTCACCACTGAAATCCACATCAGGTTTTAGGTTCTATATTATCTTTGTAGATGACCATAGCAGGTTCACATGGATCTACCCTATGAAACAAAAATCTGAAGCCTTAAACACCTTCATTCATTTTAAGAATCTGGTAGAAAACAAGTTTGAAAAAAGGATCAAAGCCCTTCAATCTGATTGGGGAGGAGAGTTCAGAAATTTCAACCAAATCGCCTTTTTATATGGGATTAAACTTAGGCATTCATGTCCCTATACATATGTGAAGAATGGCAGGGCAGAGAGAAAGCATAGGCATATCACTGAGACTGGTTTAACTCTTTTAGCACAAACACAAATGCCCTTATTCTATTGGTGGGAATCATTCAAATCAGCAACCTTTCTCATTAATAGGCTGCCTACTCTTGTACTCAACCATAAATCACCTTATCAAGTCCTTTATGGAAAGGATTTTGACTTCAAATCTCTCAAAACTTTCGGGTGTGAGTGCTACCCTTATCTCAGACCTTATCGAAAGCACAAATTTAGTTTTCATTCACAAAGAAATGTGTTCCTTGGCTATGGTAATTCTCACAAAGGTTTTAAGTGCCTAAGCCCTAGTGGTAGAGTTTATGTCTCCAAGCATGTTGTTTTCAACGAATCTAACTTTCCTTTCAAGTCTGGTTTTCTAAACAAAAATTCTCAGCTGCAAAACACTCTAACAACTGTCAGTTTCCTCCCATACAAAAATGAATTCAATAATGAAACATGACATTCACACACAGCTGATGTAGCTCACCTTGATGCACCACCTGCAGCCTCATCCAATGGAGAACTAGCTCCTCAAATTGAAAATGAGATGCTAGATAATTTTGACAATGAAGCTCTACCTCAAGGTGACTATCTTGATCAAGAGAGTTCTGATCAACAAACTTCTGATGACAACCAAGAGGAGTTTGAAGTCTTAGACACAGGAAATGAGGTTAATGCTGAAGATCAAAGTACAACAAGAATTGAAGGCCATCACATGATCACTAGAAGTAAGGCAGGAATTTTTAAGCCTAAGGTATATACAAATCAGATGCAAACAGATACTGAGCCACTGACAGTCACAGAAGCACTGCAAAATGAGAATTGGAAGAGTGCAATGCAAGATGAATACAACGCCTTAATGAAGAATCAAACATGGAAACTTGTATCCCCTGAACCTGGAATGAAGGTTATTGGAAACAAATGGGTGTTTAGGCTGAAGCATGACTCGGAAGGAAGAGTTGAAAGACACAAGGCAAGATTAGTAGCAAAAGGTTTTCTTCAAATATAAGGAGTTGATTACGGTGAGACTTTCAGTCCAGTTATCAAAGCATCAACCTTGAAAATTATCCTAACCTTTGCTGTCTCAAAAGATTGGAATATCGGCAAGTAGATGTGAATAACGCCTTTTTGAATGGAGGCCTAAATGAAACTGTATATATGCATCAGCCACATGGATTCATTGACAAAGAAAATCCTCATTTCGTGTGCAAACTAGAGAAGGCATTATACGGGTTAAAACAAGCTCCAAGAGCTTAGCATGAAAAGTTGAAAAATACTCTGCTGAAGTGGAATTTCAAACAATCTAAAGCTGATAATTCTTTATTCTTCTTAACTGATGGTGGAAGCATATTATTCATCCCTATCTATGTAGATGATATAATTGTAACATGAAGCAATGGTGAAAAGTTGCAAGAGGTTATTGACAACCTGAATACAAGTTTTGCTCTTAAGGATATGGGAAATCTCAAACAATTTCTGGGAATGGAGGTTCATAGAGACTCAAATGGGCTATACCTAACTCAAACAACGTATGCCATCAGCCTGCTGGAGAGGTTCGGTTATGAGAACCACAAACCAAGCATAACGCCCATGGTAGCAAGAAAGCTAATATCAAAAACTGATGGTCAGATAATGAAGGATCCAACCCTTTATAGGAGTGCCATTGGTGGTCTCCAATACTTAACGCATATAAGAACAGATGTTACTTATTCAGTAAATCGATTAAGTCAATTTCTCCAAACACCAACTGACACTCATTGGAAAGCATTGAAAAGGATATTCAGATATATCAAAGGAACACTCAACTATGGCCTGGCAATCTACGAGAATGACAACCTCAACATAACTTCATTTACAGACTCTAATTGGGCGTCTGCCCAGATGACATAAGGTCCACCGCAAGGTATTGTGTGTACCTTGGAGATAACTTAGTCTCTTGGTGCTCCAAGAAACAACAAGTGGTAGCGCGTTCCAGCACTGAAGCAGAATATAGAGCACTAGCCCACAGTGCATCTGAGATTACTTGGATTCAGTCCTTGTTAACTGAATTGAAGTTACCACAGATGGCAATTCCCAAAATATGGTGTGATAACCTAAGTGCAAATGCACTAGCTTCAAATCCGGTATACCATGCACGAACAAAACACATTGAACTCGACGTTCACTTTGTAAGAGACAAAGTGCTAACAGGGGAATTGGAAATTAGCTATGTACCCTCATCTGATTAGATTGCTGACTTGTTAACCAAACCACTGGCTTACTCTAGGTTTATATTCCTACGAGACAAGCTTGGAGTGTTGGAGATACACTCCACCTTGAGAGGGGGTGTTAAAGTTCACACTACAAACAAACCATCAGCCTAACCAATTCTCAGTGGAATGCACAACAGGGTTGATTACTCTCAGCATGAGTGACTGTCCTTGAATGGAATATAATTAGTTTTGCCAGCTGGCTATAAGTTGTTATGGATATTAGAATATTCTCTCTATATGTAATTGCTTATATAGATTCTCTTTTGTATATAAGGCAAGCTATAGGAGGTAATTAATTGTAACTTGAATAGCAAATTCTAAATATACAAATTCTGTTTTCTTTCTTACTTGCTTCAGAGAATATAATAGATTTACTATAAATTATGGTTTAACATACCTACTTAAAGCTCAACTTAATAAAAAAATAAACTTATTAGGGGAGAAGATACGCATGCTTTTGCGTTTGGTTTATTACTTGCGAACAATTATGGCATACTCATTTGTACATACAATATTGTGTAAGGCATTGACTTAACCTTGGCACGTACGTACAGTGCACATGAAATAGACATATTTGTGACCGAGTGCATTTGCTTATCTATATATAACATCGATCACGGGAATTGAATTATGAATGCATTAACTAAATGTTGATGCCAAAAATGCTTCTGCATTCTGTTCTATTCCTTCTCTTGTTGGCATTGTCCGCTTCTAATAATGTCAACACAACCAGAACCCCTACAACCATCATGAAAGGATCCCAAATCACCAGGCCCGGCTGCCAGAGCAAATGTGGAAATCTAACTGTTCCATTCCCATTTGGAATTGGCTTAGGGACAGGTTGTTCTATAGATCCATCTCTTGACATCAACTGCAATACTTCTTTCAATCCTCCCAAGCCTTTCATTTATGACGGAAACCTTGAGGTTACAGATATATCAGATTCTCATGTGCGCATCAAGAATTGGGTGGCTGCCAGTTGCTATAACCAACGTGGCAACTATACAGGGGGAAACCCTGTGGCGATCCGTTTAATGCCACATCTTAGCTTTTCTGAAATGAATAAGTTCACAGTCATGGGATGCGATGATTTGGCATTAATAGCAGGATCAGAAGGGCGTATCTTCACCAGTGGATGTGTTTCCCTCTGTTCGTCAAAGGAAAGTATCCTTGATGGGTATTGTTCGGGTATTGGTTGCTGCCAGACCTCCATTCCTAAGGGCCTACGGAGTTTTGTTACATCCGTAAGTAGCCTTAATAATCACACTACGGTCTGGTCCTTCAATCCTTGTGGTTTTGCCTTTCTTGGAGAGCAGGTTGGCTTCACATTTCGTACATCAGACCTTTCTAATTTGACGTTCATTGACAGAACCATAGAGAATGTCCCAATAGTCTTGGACTGGGTGATTGGGACTCAAAATTGCACTGAAGCTCAGAAATCCAATGATTTTGGATGTCGCCAGAACAGTAAATGCAGTGATGCGGATAATGGTCTTAGAGGATACCGCTGCAGCTGCTTCCCTGGATATGAGGGCAATCCGTATCTTGATCCAGGCTGCACAGGTTAGAGTGTTGCTTTTGGGCCATAATTTATCTGTTGTGCAAGGAAGAAATTTATCAGCCCACTTCTTATACTAAATGCTTATCCTTGTTTGTCTGCCAGACATAAACGAATGCAAGAATAATCCATGCGATCCACAAGGAATTTGCACTAATACTCCAGGTAGTTATAACTGCTCTTGCCCGAGGGGATACCTTGGGGATGGAAGAAAAGATGGCCGTGGCTGCAATTCCCAGATTTCACAATTCCCAGTGATCAAGTTCTCTTTAGGTACTTTTAATTGATAAACTTTCTTCTCTCTCTCTACGGCAAGGATGATAAATTTCTCACAGTATAATACAATAAATAGCACAACAGTATACTACATATCACCAAAGTAGAAGAAAAAGGTTAAAACTGGAGCCAAACTCAGCAGTCAAAGGAGTTTCTAAATTACTGTACCAAAATGAGTCTTTCAAAATAGCGACGCACGAGAAATGATTCTCTAGTTTTGTTTATAATGTACGAAGTATAAGATATCAATTGACTCCATGCCAAACAAAAACTTGACTTTAGCAATGAAAGAGCTCATAACATTTTTATGAACTAAAAACATATTTTTCTTTTTGATGGGATGGAATGATATGTTTACATCATATGCATATGATATACTAGTTTTTTTTTTTTTAATTAATACCATAAATGAATTCAATTAAGCACTTACTTTAAAGTTATTGGAGATTAGACGTGAACGTTGTGAGAGAAAGAAAGCCGATCCTTCTAAATTTTGTTTGACAATTTATAGTATAACGTGTGTGTTATACCTATGTATGACATTCTAAAGTATTAGTCATAAGAGCATTACATGTGTTAAGCAAACAAAATAAATATGGAATCGTATGAGCATCTGACTAAGAATAGTAGAACTACAGCTTGATCAGTTGCTAATTAGTTCAATGTCCATGTCAAACCAAAATATTCAGGTCTTGGTTTTGGCTTCTTGACCTTGATAATTGGTATTACTTGGTTATACTTTGGCATTCAAAAAAGGAAGCTTATTAAACTGAGAGAGAAATTCTTCCAGAAAAATGGCGGTTTGCTATTGAAGCAGCAATTTTCTTCAAATGAGGGTAGTATGGAATCAGCTAAAATCTTTTCTGCAGCAGAACTAGAAAAAGCAACCGAAAACTACGCTGTGGAATCAGCTAAAATCTTTTCTGCAGAAGAACTAGAAAAAGCAACCGAAAACTACGCTGAAGATCGTATCCTTGGCCGTGGTGGTTATGGTACAGTTTATAAAGGAATTCTGAGTGATAAACGTATTGTTGCAATTAAAAAGTCGAGAATAATGGATCAGGGCCAAATCGAACAGTTTATCAATGAAGTAATTATCTTGACTCAAGTCAATCACCGGAACGTGGTGAAGCTACTGGGATGTTGTCTGGAGACAGAAGTTCCCTTGTTGGTTTATGAATATGTCTCTAATGGTACACTCTTCTATCATATCCACAACAGCGAGAGAATGCCTTGGTTTTCTTGGGAAAATCGTTTGAGAATTGCTGCAGAGTCTGCTGGTGCATTAGCTTATCTTCATTCTGCTGCAGCAATGCCAGTTATTCATAGAGATGTCAAATCTCCCAATATACTGTTAGATGATTACTATACTGCAAAAATATCGGATTTCGGAGCTTCAAGATTGGTGCCTGTTGATCAAAATCAAGTAACTACTCTAGTCCAAGGAACCTTAGGTTATCTGGATCCCGAGTACTTCCAAACAAGCCAGTTGACAGATAAAAGTGATGTTTATAGTTTCGGGGTAGTTCTAGCAGAGCTAATGACACTGAAAAAACCCCTTTCCAGTGAAAAACCTGAAGAAGTAAGTAACCTGGCTACATATTTCATTGTATCCTTGAAAGAAAATCATCTATTCAAAATTCTCGACCCAAGAGTTCTGAGGGAAGGGAGTTTAGAGCAACTTCATGCGGTGGCTGATCTCGTTAAAAGATGCCTCAAGTTAAATGCGGTAGAAAGGCCAACAATGAAAGAAGTGGCGATGGAGTTAGAAAGGTTGAGAAAGCATAATGTTCAAACATGGATTCAAAAAGAAATTCCTCAAGAAAATTTGGGCTTGGCGTTAAGGACAGAGGACTCTGACCTATATCAATTGTCGATAAATCCTGAGTTTGTTATTGGGGAGTTCTCGGAAGGATATAGTATGGACAGCTGCCTGTTACATGCGATCAACCCTCCTCGCTAAATAGTGAAAAGTTTCTAACACGTAAGAAGGTCCTGAGATTCTATACGTTACGTTTCTCGAACTTTATCTTGTGTCTTTTATCCTGCTTGTAATAAGTTCATCTCTTTTTATAATGAAAAGGATGTCAATATACAGAAATGTTGAAAGTGTTAATGTCTTTGATCCCACGCATGCTCATTGTCTCATAAAAAATGTTCAACTGTGTTGAGCTATTAAATTAGAAATTGATTTGGTCGAGAAAATAATCTGTGAAAGATTATCTATTCGAAGGAACAAAACTCGTAGGGTGCAATCAATGAAAAAGAAAATGATTTATAGCGACACATTTTCAATGTTTACAAGAATGAGACTTGAGCTATTCAACTTAGGCAAAGTGAAAATTGTTTTCTTAATGGACAATTGAATAAAGATCTATGTTTGGATTAACGTCAAATGTAATGGACAGAGTGTGCGAGTTGAAAGTATTCTTTTATGAATTTAAACAAGCGTCTCTATAGTGGCAAAATTTCACCATTCAAGTTTTTAATAGGACAATGAAAAAATCCAACCACTCTGTTTTTACTTGAAAAAACAAACTAATTTAAAATGACAAACACGGAGTGAAGCATGACATGCCTTGAGAATTGAAAACTTTTGAGAGTGAAATCTAAAGATGCAATAATAAGTGAGAGAGTTCATTTCTCCGGTGAAATTCTTGATTGCCTCCAGCGGTTCTCTCGGTATATCCATTATCATTCCCGTAGACGATAGTGCATGATCCGACGTGGCACAAATCTGAGCTCAACACCACAAGAGACATTGCTGGTGAGGTTGAAGAAGATTTGAAGTTAGTTGGTTCTGTTTTTACACTTTGAGAGTTTCATTTTCTGCATTGTAGTTGTAATAATCATTGTGTTGAAAATATTGTTTAAAGTTGAATAAAAACGATTATGGAATAATGTGGAATGAAAATCAATATTGGAGGCCAAATTTTGGCCTATGCGGTCAAGGATTAAAATCCATGCTGTGAAGAGAACTATGCGGTCGCATAGTGTTGAACTATGTGACTGCATAGAAGGCCAAAAGAACCGTTAGTGACCGTTTTGTTCAAATTTTTGATGACTTTTGGAGGGTTTTTGGCACCACTTCGTATGACCATGTCTCTGGGCTATATATAAGTGGTTTGTGATCATTATAATGTTGTTGAAAACATACAAACACCATAGCCATATTCAAGAACAAAAAATCATTCCAAAAACAACAAGAAATCACAATTTTCTTCATCATATTCAAATCCTTCTTTAGTGTTCTTCAAGTTTTGGAGAATGACACTTAATGCTTGAGTGTTAATTCTTTACAAGGCTTGTTTAAATCCTGCAAACCATTTGCCTTAACCCCTACAAGCATTATTTCAATTCGTGAAGAGGCAAATATAGTTTGAGGACAGGGATATCGTGTTCAAGCCATCGGTGTTCGTTTTCAAATCCATTTCCTGGTTTAGTGTTTGGTTTGTTGCTTTCATTGGTAATCTTCAATTTTCTGGTTTTGGTTAATTTGCTTTATTCTCCTATCCCTCAAATGGAAGTCATCAAATTTCCCAACACATTGTACACTACATTATTAACTCTACAACAATACTTTTACCAAGAAAATTATATAATTAATAACACACTCAATCGACTTAACACAATAAATTGGTAAAGTTACAGTTCCATTGAAAACAAAGAATGAAACTGAAAAGTTTTAAGGTTTAGTTTATTACAAAAATGAGGTCTACCCACACAACGTATTTTGATCCTCTCATACTATCAATAGGAAAAAGATGCCCAGATATCGGAATGGACTAACTCAAAAGGTGCATGAAAAACTGACTCACTTTTATTGAATGGTAAAATGTGATTTGTTACAAGTCGACAAGGCATGCAATCTATTGTAGTAATATCTTTGACACATTCTTACATACCTCTAGAAATTAATTGACACAATTTAGATAATGATGCATGTCCAAGACGAAAATGCCAAATTCTGGATTACACTGAAAGGACTGACTCAACAATTGACTAGGAAGACACAATGAAGTGAGTTCAAATAAACGACCAACTTTACGGCTAGTCCAAGGTATTTGTCCTATTTGTGAATCGTGCACACAAAAATCGTTACAAGAAAATTGCATGTCAAGACCAAGATCACATAATTTGCCCACATAAATGAGATTAAGTGTAAGATTGGGAACCATAAATGTATGAGGTAAGTCTATGTTAAAAAATATTGTTCAAAATTGATAAAATGGGTGTGGAATGAAAAAATGGGATTGAGGCCATCTAGTTGAACTATGCGACCGCATGGTTCAAAGAACCATGCGATCGCATAGACTAATACCAGGACTTGAGGCCCCGGCATTGATTCAACTATGCGTTCACATAGGATTGGCCTATGCGACCGCATAGGTCAATTTTTTGGCCCTTTTTTTCCATTGTGTTTTTGAATTTGGTGACTTTTCAAACATTTTTGGCACCATTTCGTAGAAGACGTTTGAGGGCTATAAATAGGTGATCCATGTTCAAGGCAAGATGATAAAAAATCATTATTGAACAATATATATTCCACAAAGCGTAGAAATTAACCTTTTTCTTCTTCATATTCAAATTTCGTCATTGTGTTCTTCAAGTTTTAGAGGATTTCACTTAATGGTTGAGTGTTAAATCCTTTACAAGACTTGTTTAGTCCTGCAAACCATTTGTCTTAATCCATTCAAGCATAGTTTTCAATCCGAGAAAGAGCAAATATAGTTTGAGGGCAACGATATCGTGTTCAAGCTTTTGGTTTTTCATCTTCGCACTTGATTCTTGGTTTTGTGTACTTCATTTTCTGGTTTGGTTCGTGGCTTTCATCTCGGACTTCATATAATTTCCCAACAGTCTAGAATAGAGGTAAAAATATGATAGGGTTCCATATGGAAAATAGAAAAACGGAGAAATGAAAGAACACATGTTCTAAAATGCGCCGCCTAAGCACGACGAGTGGAGAAAACGTGTCGAATTCAAGGTATGCGCGGAAAATGAGTTTTTGTTCTAAAAGGCGGCGGCGCATTATGCCGCCTAATTTTTTTTATTTTTTATTTGGTAAAAAATCTATTTTTTTTTATATAAAAATATATTTAATGCCTTAAAAATACGAAACACATTATGACGCTTATTCTTCGCATTCACACGCCTAAACTTGTGATTCTTGATACTCGATCTCGACGCATCGCAATGCATTACTCATTTTAGAACATTGGAAAGAAGTATTGTGATTGAAAAGTAACAGATTATAGTTAAGACATATAACCATAACCAAGCCTACAGATGGTTGGGATCTCCAAAATACCACTCACCCACTCTCTAAAAATGCCTGCTCATTCCTCCCTCCCTCTTTTCTATTTAGAACCTAATTGTAACTACTTATCCAAGCAAGCTGGTCTGGTTAACAGAATTCTATCGCATCTGTTGCAGGGTGGTTCTCAAGTCTTCCGAGCTCTTCTATAATGCATATACCTGATTGGAGGCTTATCACAATATTTCCTGTATGACTTACATGTTGGAAAAATTCCATCATAAGGGCCCACACATGTATATATATTAAAATGTGTGGTGCTATCTTAAAGGTTAGTCAATAAAGTAATCTAGTAAAGTTAATTTTGGACTAATGGGTATTAAATATCATGGAAATAAAGTGTAGAGACCAGAATAGTTGTTCTTGATTGATGAGGGGCCAATTTGGAATAACTGAAAGATAATAACTGCATATTCAGTTATTATTTCATAGGTTATGGTTCTCAATTATACGTGGCTTTTCAGATCCCTACATCCCCATCAGCAGAGAGAAAATTCGGAAGGAGACTACGTATCTATTGGAAGATCATAAGCCGTTCAAGCAATCAAACAATATGAATCAAGGTATGCTTCTGCTATTAATCTTCTATTGGTTTCAACATGGAGTATATTTATGCATGTGATTATGGTTTGATAAAGTTTTTGGTTGATAATCCTTTTTTACAAATTTCTAACAAATGGTATCAGAGCCACTCTATTGTTGAATTTTTGAGAAGTTGTTAAAATAAATGTTTTAACAATTCTGAATTTTCCTTT